GGGGGGGGGTAGGATTTTAATACCAAATCGATATATCAGATGTTATTCATCAAGTTTCCTGCACAGAGTACATGAAGGTCCTACTTATATAAGATCGGCCTCTTAACAATTTTGAACTCTCAAAGAACTCTATATTTAACGGAAAATATGAGATTACATAAAACCTTATCTCTAAGGTACGATATCTCTATTTCAACTAATTGATAAAGATAAAACAAAAAAAAAATTTATTCGTAAAGGAAAATGGAAGGTTGTGATAAAAAGATACACAATATTGAGGGACAACACTATCTTCATGACCACATCATGTTTACCTAGTGTCTCTTAAGTTATTTTTGTCCTGCAGTATTGACTGCTTGAAGGTGTGAAGTACCTTAGTCTTGTAAGACTAAATGTCTCTAACTTCATAGCCATGTCAAATTGAAAGTGGTAATCCAAGATCATGTCTACCAGTAATCCTAATTTCTAAATGCAGAAGAAATCGGACAACTAGTTGTCTCAACTTTATTGAAATGCTTTACTTTTTCATTGATGCTAATGCATTGGCACCTTTTTTTGTTTTGACAGGGTAGATTTCTGTTAGCTGCTGTCAGTGGCCGTGTTTTGGCTCGTTCGTTCCATTCAGTTCTTTCCATTGGCTATGAAGTGATTGAACAAGCTCTAGGTGGAGGAAATGTTCAAATTCGTGAATCTCAACCTGAAATGACATGGAATCGCATGGAGTACTCTGTGATGTTAGAACATGTGCAGGCACATGTTGCCCCAACTGACGTAGATCCAGGGGCTGGACTGCAGTGGCTTCCTAAAATTCGGAGAAGCTCACCGAAAGTGAAGCGCACTGGAGCTTTACTGGAGAGAGTTTTTATGCCTTGTGATATGTACTTCCGCTATACTAGGCATAAAGGTGCAACCGCCGACTTGAAGGTATGTATGCGTTGTTTCTAATTTTGTGATAACCTAGTCATATTGGTTTATGTTGTGAGAACTCTATCTGACTTATTAGACCAATTCTTTGTTGCATCGTATGTTTTGATAACGATGTTTTCATCGCTTGATTCTCAATTGTGATTATGTATTATCACAGGTGAAACCTTTGAAAGAGCTTTCATTCAATTCACATAATATAACAGCAACAATGACATCCCGCCAGTTCCAAGTTATGCTAGATGTGTTGACCAATCTTCTATTTGCCCGGCTTCCAAAGTAAGCACAGTTTTTAAGATCTCTAATCACTAAATTACTATAAACCTATTATTGAGTTTAACATGCTTTTGGATAAGTGCAACCCGTCCCTCATTTGTTCCTCAGAAGCCTCTATTATTATACTTGGATGTGATGAGTTGCATCTCCATAGCTTTATCTTAAATCTTTGAGTGAATTAATTGAGATTCCTAAATCAGGCCTCGAAAAGTTAGCCTGTCGTATCCAGCAGGTGACGATGAAGATGTTGAAGAGGAGGCTGATGAAGTTGTACCTGATGGTGTTGAAGAAGTAGAACTGGCAAGAGTGAACCTTGAACAGAAAGAAAGAGCGCAGAAGTTGATCCAGGATGATATTAGGAAATTATCTCTTTATAATGATGCATCTGTGGACAGGAACCCAGTAAAGGAAGGCGATCTTTGGATTATTAGTGGGGGAAGGTCCATTTTGGTAAGACAGCACTTTCTGAAGTACTTTAAGATTGTTAGATGTGAAATATGACATAAGTCCTTTTCCTGTTTGACAAGTTGATTCTGAAATGATTGCATAAGCCTTAGCCTATGATATGTACTCGACTAATTGTTTCTACCTGGCACGGTTGCCACTATAGCATGGAATATCATTCAGTGCCATCGACTGGTAAAATGACATTGGACTTCTGTAGGATAGCTACGTGTTTTAATTTGGCAAGATTTGAGATCCATGCCCATGGTTTAGCTAGAAATGAAAAGTTGAGATCCCATGTTGGAAGCTATTGAGAATTAGGGCCCAGAAAGGGCTAACTAACTGTCCTCCTCAACATACCTTGGTTCTCATGTCGTGTCCTTTTTGTTGGGCCTTGACGCTTATCAATCGGGTGATCCTGGGGCAGAGTTAAATACTTATCGTTCACCTAGGCTGATCCCTTTATTGTCTTCCATGGTCTTTAGTGAGAACAGGCAAATAGGTCACAAATTCTCTTGCAATAGTAACTCAGTCCCATCACTACGTGATTCTACCAATTTCCAATGTTCTTCCAGTTGAATCAAGGGGTTTTACATTTTCTCTTTTCTCGAGCACTATCATTTTTTAGACTTATTTAAGTAATATGAGGGGCGATTAATGATAACAATCACGACCTCATTTGATTATATGCCTTGACTGGTCCAACTACCTATAAAATACATTATGTGTGCATATGGGCTAAAAATGATTTGTCTGAGTTGAATATTAATGATGATGAATCGTGAAAACCTGCCGAAAAATGAAAAAATAAACATGAATGCTGAACTTTTCTTACCGTACTTTCTCCACATATCATAAGCAATTCAACTTCAATTTACCAATTTTTGTGAGTACTATGCCATGAAATAAGCTTGCTTCACCTCTCTCATTCAAGTTTCAGGTTGCTTTGAGATTTTTCTTCTCCGTTTAGAGGGGTTTAAAGCAATCTTCCTATGTGCTATAGTGATGCAAATGTGGTTTTGTGTAATAAGCCCAAGAAATACTGATTTCAAGGCTTTTCTTCTCTTGATTTTAGTTTTACTGTTAAGTTTTCATTGAAAAGTTATTGTTGAGTTGCATATGCCTATCATTTTCTTCTCAATTTTTTGATGATTCACATGGATTATTTCCAGGTGAAAAGTGACTGGATATGACCTTTTGTTTGCTTTGGAGTGCTGTCATTCTCATACGTCTATGTTTTAAATGCTGACAGTGTCTCAAGCCATTTCTTGAATGGTGTTTAGAGAGCCTCTATTATAGTTATTTGCCTTATTTTCCTTTTGTTTTTCAAGAGTTCAATTAACAGTGTAATTTAAAAGAAAGTAAGTATGTAAAGATGGTAAAGAATTTTGACAGTTTTACTGTCTTTTTGGTGAAATAGAAGTCTTTGTGGTGCAAAGGTAAGAGATTCTTCTTTTTTGGGTCAAAATAGTAACTTCTATTGATACCAAAAAAAGGTATTTGTAAGTAGCTCCAAGCAGATGCTGACCATCTACCCACTTGAACCTAACCTGTCCAAGCCTAAACAAAAGTGGGTGTGTTTTGCTTAGACTCCATGTTCTAAAACCCCTATATGGCCCAGTATGCAGCCCAACTGCCCATTTATTTTGACAAACACGGCCTACTTCTGATAGTTTGCACAACTTGTGTCACTTTGGTAGTGAAGGCCGTGAAGTTAACAGATTTCGTGGAGTTTTGCTTTGAAATGTGTAGATTTCATTACAGTAATAGGGATAAAAGGTGTATCAAGTTTGAAGGCTTATTAAAAGCAACTTTCTGCAGGTGCAAAGACTGAAAAAAGAGCTAGTAAATGCTCAAAAATCCAGAAAAGTAGCATCTGCATCTCTGAGGATGGCTCTACAGAAAGCTGCACAGCTCCGATTGATGGAGAAAGAAAAGAACAAAAGTCCTTCTTGTGCTATGCGCATCTCTTTGCAAATTAATAAAGTGGTTTGGAGCATGCTTGTGGATGGAAGATCATTTGCTGAAGCTGAGATAAATGATATGGTGAGTCTCTACGTGGCTTCAGTATTTTTGGTATATCCTTGCTTGGCTTAATTCCTGTAAAGAGTTCTTGTTTGGTAACACCTGTTGAAGGATAATGCTTATCAGTTATCAGTAGGATTTTATATCAAACTAGCAGCTGTAGCTGCTGCAATATTCCTGACATTCTTCCAGGAAACAAATATAAACATACATGTATTAATGGCTTTTAGGTCTTGCATAGGTTAAAGTTCATGGTTTTTTCTAAGCTGTCCCTTTGTGATCTCATATTGGTTCTGGTACAGCTTTATTTTCTCCAACAGAAAGAAGCAATTAAAGAAAAACAAGAGTCAGAATAGTTAGCAGTTGAAGGTATACATAACTAGAAAATTATCCTGGAGTAAACTGCAGCTAAAGTTTCATCTATTTGAAGGGGTTAAAATTGAAAACAATATGCTAATAATTCCCTAAGTTGGAGAACTTTTATTGCAGGGTGAACCCTCTGAAATAGATCAGCCGTAAAATCCATGAATTTCGCATCTTTCGAATTTGGTTTCATCGTCCAAAGCTTTTTTTTAGTGTCAGAGTTGGGGTTTGATGAGATAATGTGTTGCTGGTCCTAGTCATTTTAGATGGAAATAGATTCCATTAACACATAGGGTCATCTTTTTCTACAGTTTTGTCTAAGACCATTACATGGTAAAACTAAAGTCATGACAGTAAACTTCAGTACAGGACAGTAGGACACTGGCACTTGAACTGTAAAGTACTGTGTTCCTTTTTATGCAATCCCTTTTAAACAAGTATCTTGCCTACAGAAACTGTTTCATTGTTTAGGAACTGTAAAGTACCATGCCTTGTTGGACAGGATGTATTTTGATTTTTTTTTTTTTTTTTTTTTTTTTTTTTTTTTTTTTTTTTTTTTTTTTTTTTTTTTTTTTTTTGTAAATATGGTTCCCAGCACAATCTTTGAGCTGATGAATATACTGTTACCTTTATCAAAAAGAAAAAAAGGTACCATGTCTTTGTTCATGCAATCCTAGAGGTGCTTAATAAGTTATCTTGCGACCAGAAAACTGTTTTATTGTTTAATAACTTTCGGAATTCCCCTTAACCGTCCTATTTCTTTTTGTTTTTAGAAATTTATTTTTCCTATTTAAAAGTGGAATCACTTGAGTCAGACGTAAAGAATATAATCTGGTGTTTCTTAATGCAGATATATGATTTTGACCGTGATTACAAAGATGTTGGGGTTGCTAAATTCACAACAAAATATTTTGTTGTGAGAAACTGCTTACCAAATGCCAAGTCTGATATGCTTCTATCAGCATGGAATCCTCCTACTGAATGGGGAAAGTATGCAACAATTCAAGTTTATTTCCTGCTGTCTCTTGCTCCTTTTTACACATCTAAACTGTATAGTGTTTCTGCTTCCATTTTATATGGGTTGGGGACCATGGTGGAGTCCCATTTTTTCTTCGTATCCATGTTTGTCCTTTAAAGTTTTGTACTGGTATTCTCTATTAACTGGCAATAGTGATGATTATTTCTCTAAATATCTTTGGCAACCATAGATGTTGGTACTTCTACTGGCTCCTCTAATGTACATCTACAAACTGCAAAAGTTGAATTTGATTGTGTTGGAGACAACCTCGCATCTGCGACCATTTCTGAGTACCTTGACACAGCTTGCTATACCAGACTCTATTTCTTTGGTCCACTTAGCTAGCTCCTTTCCTTTTTAAAAGTGGCCTTCTGCACTTAAACCCATCTTTTTAGTAAACTGCTGGTCTCTGCTATCTCAGACATAAAATAAATAAATAAATAAATAAAAATATTATCTTTCTAAAAGTTCAAGCTTTTAGATGAGATAATTCACACAATTCAACATAATATCTTACAATCTAGTCTAGCGGAGGCAAATACAAGGTGATTTCTTCCCATCTATCCAAGCCTTGGTGGATAGAGTTACCTGGTACATGTTGCTGGTGGGAGGTGGCAGGTATCCCGTGGAATTAGTCGAGGTGCGCGCAAGCTGGCCCGGACACCACGGTTATCAAAAAAAAATATTATTTGGGAAAGAAAATCTAGACCATGGGCACTTACTGCANATCAACATAAAATTTCTACATGCATGGTCATAAAAGAATCGAGCCCCCACGTTAGGGGACGTGTTACAAACTTAAAATTAATAAAGTAATCCCTGTCTAAGAGTCTAAGTTTTTTGATGAAACGGATCACACATTTTAACATCTGCTTTGTCATTGATTTCCCTCTCCTAATTATCATGTGATATCATTCAAGTACTCAGTTGTTCATATTTAGGCAATTGGTTTTGGTCAAACTACACATGTTAATAATGTATGTCTCTGTAGACAATTTCCTAGTCACACACTCAAGACTACATACTTGAGTATTAGAACTTCACTTTGAAATGGATTTCTATAAGGTACTGATACAATCCCACCTTTGAAGACTTATTTTAGAAGAAAACGTGAAAGAGGAAATAAGATTTGTGCAGCTTTGACCAAGTCCAACTTCTCTCCAGTAGGAAGAAACTGCCTTAGGAAGAAACTGCCTCATTAATTCTCTCCAGCAGTTACCAAATATTCCAACCTACTATCTGATTAGGCTTTACAGTTTTCTAGTTATTTTAAAGAATATGTATTCTATAAATATCTAGTCAGGATTAGTTTTAAGGGCATTGAATGTTTGTCTAAATATTAGTATCTGGGGGTTTTGTCCACTCCATACAGACAGATTTGTTGGTTGTAAATTGTGTTTAAGATTCTTGCACAATCTATTGCCAATAGTAATTTCCTTCTCTTCTCAATTTCTGTGTCATAAATTTTCCGCATCTAACATTATGGTATCAGAGCCACCCACCGCCCTCCGTGCCCAACGTGCCATGGATGGTGACGCCGGTATTGCAGTGTTCGCCCGGGGCTAGAAAAGTCTAGCACACAGCCGTCGGGGACGACGGATGCAGAGCGTGGTGGTTTGTTATGATCCATTGCAAGGTATGGGACTTAAGTCCCACATTGGTATGACAATGTGCTGATGCGGGTTTTATATAGCCTTGGGCTCTCCCACCTTAATAGCTAGCTTTTAGGGTGTGGTTCTCCCTGGGTTGTATCAGGTACCCAACTGAAACTTCCGAGTGAGTGAAACATAGTATGTTGTAGTCCTAATCCAGTGAGTTAGGGGTATGGATAACACAATTAAGAAAATGATCGAACCAGATGAAATCAAATTTTTGGAGAAGACCCATAAGAAGGCAGCCACTCGTGGGACTGTACACCGCATGACCAGGGGAGTAAAAATGTGCTATGAGGCAGCTTTACCTCTACCTCCATAGTTTACCAATTGATTTCTTTAGCATGATCACTGAAATTTTTGAATTGTCAGTTGTTCACTTCTTAAGTATTTACTTCAGTGGCTAGTTCTGACCATATAGTTTCACTTGTCATGGCTACAGAAAAGTGATGCTTCGAGTAGATGCTAAGCAGGGGGCTCCAAAAGATGGAAACTATCCTCTTGAACTATTCCAGGTAGTAATGCTTCTTTTGATAAATACTTTGAACCTTTAGGTTTTTTCTTCCTTTTGAGAAAGATAACTTGTCAGATTCGGGAACTTTACACTTCTGAGCACTGTGCTGGTCATTGCATTCTTCACACTGAATAACATGCCAAAAATATTTTCTGGCAGTTGAGTGGGAGATTAACCCTTTTCTCAAATTTTTGACTTTTCTATTATCATACATTATAACCTGTTTAAATTCCTCCGTTGCACAGGTGGAGATTTACCCCTTAAAGATACATTTGACTGAGACAATGTACAGAATGATGTGGGAGTACTTTTTCCCAGAAGAAGAGCNAAAAAGTATCCTGTTCTCTCTTTTATGGTCCTATTGTTTTCCTCTTGGAAGAACTAATGTAGGATGCCATTCTGCTCTCTCTGTTGTGCGAAAGCCAGCAGAACCCAGCATTAATAGCTTTCTAATAGGCCTAGCATTTTATGATGTCTAGATTGCTTAGTCACAGTTGATATTTTAGTCCTTTGGTTTTGGGCCAGTTTGGGCTGACAGTGTGATCGTTTTATTTTTAAGCTATGCTACAAAGTATCAGTAATATTGGTTACTGACACAAGTCTTTCTTTCCAGGTTTATCTTCTCAACAAAGAGAATCACTTCCTTCATCACCAAGAGAGACCACCCCATTTGAAAGTGATTCATCAAGTGAATCTTCGCCTTATGAGGATTTCCACGAGTAGCTGAACTTGAAGACATTGAAAGCATGTATTTTATGGGATCCAAAGTGGATTGGAACAATCCTTGGTTATATGCAACATTCTGCTATTATAGCAATTCCAATTGATTAGGATTTGCTGAGATCCTTGTCTCCTGCTTAGACAATATGAGATGCCTACGTGTTGTTCCAAAATAAGAACAGGCAAGAATTGCGAGAATATGCAGAAGTCTACAATTATTAACATTTCAATGCCTTCTTAGAGCTCTGGATTCATCCTGGAAATAGAGCAAAGGTGAGTCCCTTTAGTTATAGTCATTCTTTTCTTCTTTAACCTTGTATGTATTTATAGATTATTATAGCACCCAACACAAACAACATTAGGACTCGTAAGAGACTAAGAGTCCATAATTTTTGTAATCAATAGTTGCTACTACATGTACAGTAGACACAGAATAGAGTTAGAATATGTGTTCCCTGAAAAAGGTTTTCTGCATTGTAATAGTGGAAATAGAATGGAAATGAAATTCCAACTCTTCAGTCTCATTATCCGAGCAAAGAAATAGTGTATGATTCCTAATCTGCTTGCTTTTCTTGCATTATTAACAGACTTCTGTGTGCTGATTCAAGTTCTTCATTTGAAATGTTTCCCTCTTTCACGAGTCGAAAGAAAATAACACTTATACAAGCTATCAGTCATTATTTAAACAGAAAAGGGTCAAAGCTGTCCTTATTGTTTGCTAAATGGTTTATAGATGCTCTTCGTCCATCTATCAGTCTAAAAATGCACATGACGTCCATCTATTAGTCCAAATATACACACTACTTTATTTTTACTATTAAAAATACCCTTACGTTTAACAGCAAACCAGGTGGGTCTTCAAATTAAGTAGAAATGCATTGACATCTTTTTAATGGGCCACGTGCCACTCTTGTCCAAAAATTAAACTTGGGTTTAATTTCGACCCTTTAACTGGATCCGACCGTAATTTTTGTTATCACCCCCGTTCCCTCTCACGTGACTACCCCCCCTTTTTTTTTTGATGAAGTAATTAATTTCATTGTTGGCATCAGGAAGATGCATAATAGTTACAAAAGAGTTATAGCAAAAGGGAATAATGTCAGCTCCAATACAGATGTTCAGGCTAATACTAAGGAGCTAACAAAATTCAAATAACTATCAAGGGAATCTATGGGGGATAAATAAACCCAAGTAAATAAAAACATAATACAATTAGCTTTAAGAGATTGAAAAATAGTTGATAGTCCGTCAAAACATCGGCTATTCCTTTCCTTCCAGATACTCCAAAAGATAGCAGCAGGAACCATCTTCCAAACTTTCTTGATGCATAAGACTTCAGCGATTGTCCATATCTTAAAAAGGTTATGAAAATGCAATCACTCAAAGCCGAGTAAGATAAAAGTTTGGTGTCAAAGCTTATAAAGTTCAGAAAATGCTGTATATATACTCAGCATACATAGAAAGAGCCCTTCATTGATCTGGTGACGAGTTATCTCGGACATTGGACCTCTAAGAACTGCTGCTCAAGATGCACTACATTCTTTTCATCTTTTCAAAAAATCAATATCCTTCCACATGGACCAATAAAAGAGTGCCACATGGATCTTTATAAAGGCTTACATAGTCCGTTAGTCAACTATTAGTCTTAGGGGCATTTTTTGAGCCAAAATATAACGTTAAGGGCATTTGTGATCCTATAGGTGGAAGAAGGGTATTTTAAAGCCAAATCCAATAGGATGGGGGCATTTTTGGGCCTTTTCCGATCATTTTATTTATCTTACTGCTTGTTCTAGTGTCCCATTAGAAAGAAGCCTTTCAATGTTTATATCATACAAACACAATTCACCCACCCAATGCATTTTTCCAGAGAGTTTTAAGTTCTATGCACGGTGTAAATAATACTTACATGATCAAATCACTTCCACACTAAAGTAACATAGCTTCACTTTCTCGTTATCCTTCTATCCCTCTAAATTCTATCACAAAGACTCCTAATCTCATCCTTGGTACAATAACCACGATTTCAAGTCATTGAGGAATTAGAAAAAAACAATTCCATGTCCAAAATTTGATTTTATTGGAGTTTATTGCTCCTTTAATACTGTCATTTGACGATTTTTGAGTCAACTACAATTTTGACCACAAAATTTTAACACTTTGTAATATTTTAGAACGCAAGAGAATAGCAACTTGTAGTATATTGTAGTTATATTTTTAAATGACAATTTCGTTATTTGCATTACTTCGGCACTAAGTCGATTAGTAAAGTGCAAGTATATAAATACGGGAATAAAGCATTTTTCTAAAACAACTAATAAAATGTCCATCGGAAGAAGAAAAAAACAAAAGAATTCCCTCAATCAATTTTTTTTTCCACCCATCCCTCAGTCAAAAGATGATATGCTGCTATGCTTGCCATGTTGCTCAGAAATGCAAGGAGCTTGGGCTCAATGGACTTAACATGAAGCTTCACCCAAGTAGAAACAAGACCAAAATATTGTAAAAATAGCACAGACTAGATAGTTTTCGGACTGGTAATTGAAAAATAGCCAGTATTTGCAAAGTCATTGAAAAATAACCACTATTTTGGGGGGATTTGCAGCCGTACCCTATATTTGTGTCACCTTTTAACTTGTACCCTATTTTTTAAAATTATTGATTTGGTAGCCATCTCACAAAAAATCCGTAATAATATGACAATTATACTCCTGACAAAATATATAAAACGATCTCCTCCTCTCCTCTCAACAACTTTATAAAAAAATCAAAAACTTGTCTAGATTCATCTTCAGAATCACACTTGCATGAAATTGTTTCACCTTGAAGCTAAAACTTCATGCTAATGTAGCATGAAGTTGTTTCATGTTGAAGCTAAAACTTAATGCTAATATAGCATGAAGTTGTTTCACATTGAAACTAAAACTTCATGCTAATGCATGCTGAAGTTATTTATCCTGCAGTCTACAGTTTTGTCATGAATTTTATCCGAAACTTCAGTCTAAACATGCTGAAGTTATTTAGTTCATTTGCTAAAACTTCAGACTAAACATGCTGAAGTTATTTCGTTCATTTGCTAAAACTTCAGACTAAACGTGCTTAAGCTATTTAGTTCATTTGTTAAAACTTCAGACTAAACATGCTTAAGTTATTTAGTTCATTTGCTAAAACTTCAGACTAAACGTGCTTAAGCTATTTAGTTCATTTGTTAAAACTTCAGACTAAACATGCTTAAGTTATTTAGTTCATTTGCTAAAACTTGAAACTAAATATGCTTAAGTTATTTAGTTCATTTGCTAAAACTTCAGACTAAACATACTTAAATTTTTGTCTTGCAGTATGTAATTTTCTAAAGAGTTTTTGCTAATGCATGTTGAAGTTATTTAGTTCATTTGCTAAAATTTCATACCAAAACATGCTGAAATTTTGTAGCGCAGTCTACAGTTTTGTCCTGAGTTTTATCAGAAACTTCTATCTAAACAAGCTGAAGTTTTTTAATTTATTTGCTAAAACTTCAGGACAAAAACTAAACAAAAAAAATGGGTACGGATGCAAACGGAAAAATAAAACGGGTATAAGTTAAAAAGGGGTGACCAAATTTTACACTATTTTGCTGCAACATGAAAAGCTCCATCATAATATATTGGAGATTGGAGCATATGTGTATGAACTTCCAGCATATTATATTAGACCAATATATTATGCTGGAACTCCAGTATATTATGTTTTTAGTTCACATGTAAAATTCAAACTCCAGTATATTATGCTGGAATATTTTCCGGATTTTGAATAGTGTTTTCGTTCAGATTTATCTTTACATGAAAAGTGGCTAAATTTCGATTACTTTTAAAATTGTGGCTATTTTTCAATTATTACTTGTAAATCTGACTATTTTTGAATTTCACCCCAAAAATATCTAAACCTTATGTAGAGACCGTTTCCACATTTTTTTAGATCAGTAGAACGTGGACACTACCATTTCGTGCGCACGTATAAATTTTAGCTAAAAAGAGGTAGAAGCTTTCTTATAAGAGGAAAAAAAAAAGAAGCTTTCTTATAATTATGGGAGTAGCTGCTTGATAATCAGGTAAATTGGATGAAAAATAAAAAGAGAATCTTAAGTATAAATATGTTACCATCTCAAAAAAAAAGAAAAAATAACTTCTTATTTCCTTTCTATCTGGGAGAAGAGGGGCATACCCAATTTTTAAAACCAAAACGAGATGATCATTCAGTGATCTGGGTACGATGCAGCTCAGCCAGAAAACACAGTTATATTCCACCTATATGAACAAGGAATGTTCCGATTCTTTAGATAATCAAGTTGTAGTAGTAGTAGTCTCTCAGTCCTTACAGGAGGTCTGAAGCAAGTATTACTCGGTTATTAAATCCCACAAGTACCAAGTAAAACCATGCACCAAAGAAAGGATTTTGCAAGAAACATGAGATCATCAGCATTAGCAAACCTGTTAAACTATACTGTACACGGAGTGAAACTATATATAATATATATCTAGCTCATGATGTACAGGAAGCAATTAATCACACTAGTATGTATTGGCTAGGCACCAATATATAGTATTACTTACTCATTTACAAGCATCAACACTTACACTTGCATGGATCCATTCCAAATTAACAGGGTTAGTTTGAAATGGTAATATATATATCTCTGGAAAAGGAGATGTCACTGCAATCGGGGTATGTTACAACAATAATTATGGGCTGTCAACCTGTGCAAGGTTTCAAATATTAGCAAGGAAAGCTACTTTATTTCGGCTAATGGTGTCTTAAAGAATCAAAACTTACTAGTCAAAATTTGCAGGAATGTCAATTTCAGTTTTGGAAGCATTTCCAATATCAACTAGAGTTTCCTGCAGATCCAAAATTTTAGTGACAAAATGCATTCTAATCATTTCGACTAAAAAGATTTAAAAAATCTATCATGAATAATATTAAGGAAAACAGTGATAATAAAACTGTGATAACTCTCAAACTACTCTTACCTGCTCAACAAGATTACAAGAAGGACTAATGATACCCACAGGTATCTCATTTGCAAGATTGCTCCCAGCGCCGAATAGATTCTGAAACCAAAACGGAAAAATACTGTAAGGTAAAAACATTTAACTAAAAATAGAGTTGCCTATTGCCATTCAAAATATTCATGTTGAGATCCTCATCCAGTGTCAAGACAGTAACATACTCCCATGTGACACCCAAATGGTAGAGCATCATTGCAACAAAATCATTAAATAGAGACCATCTGGTTAGCACCCGGATAATTGGTTAAGTTGAAATTTAAGCCATATGATGACAGCTTCAAATCAGTTGGACAAAAGAAAATCAGTTGGACAATTGGTGAAAGCATACTATAAAAAAAAACACCGCTACAGTGTCCTGTTTTTATTGACAGATTGGGTCAGTGGAATTAGAACAAAACAAACTTATTAAATTTTTGTTACTGAAACTCATAAAGTGAATTCGTTGTTCTTTCTCGTTCAACCTTTCTTTTATCATTATATTTCAGTGTAATTCCAATCTGAATTTAATGTGTACTACGATATAACCTATGAGGAAGTATTTCAATCGTTGCTATTAAAAAGTGTGTGCTAGAATATAGCATATAAGAAAATATTTAACATCGTACACATAATTGAACAAAATCAAAATATACCTTTTCTACATCAGCACACTGATCAAGAGATCCTTCAGCAAATGCCTTCATGGGATTGTCGGGAGTTCCCTGCATGCAGCATAAGATGCCTGAGAGAGTATTTTGTAATAAAGTGCTTCCATATGTGTTCATCCTAGCAACTGGAGAAGTTTTGACCTTCTAAATTGGACGTGTGACATCCATGGATGTCTCCCGCATGTAAAAAACAAAACTTCAATTTTCTAATGTATCAGGAACACTAAGGTGGATGAATGAGTTAACATTTTCAGGAGGTCCTTTTTGTGAAGGGGAAATAGCATGTATGCACCGCCAAATAACAGTATACTAGATATAGCATATAGGAATATAGTTCTTCACACCACTAACAAATTTTTCATTCTTGCTGATGAAACATACCAGTTCTTTTGGTTCAACAGATATTTTCCTCGCTCCCTTGCTTAGATCCCTCAATGTTCCCTATACATCCAACAATATGGGGTTATTAAGAGCTTGATATAATTTTAGATCCAATAAAATAGAATGTACAAATCTTGAATAAATAAATAAAAAAAGTACAAATCAGCTGATTTGATTAAGCGAAAACAAATCCATTTGGTGCTTGGTGTAATTTTTAAAGTATTGACCCAGAATGTAGGTGAAAATAGCAGTTCATTTGAACTTCCCTCTACCAAAAGAAATGAGAAGAAAATCATCAACTGCAGTCCCTAGAAGAGGTGGGAGAGAGAGAGAGATAGAAAATGTTGTGTTGTGCAAAGAACCAAAAGATCAGGAAACTTCATGATCATTAAGATGAAGAAAAAGAAAAGATTGTCTTGCATACCTTGTTTGCCCACTTTAGTCCACATGCATTGCAGAGCGTCCTTGGTCCATCTGGCCCACGACGCATTGCTGGCGTACAATTTTCACTCACACCACAATGGTGACACTTTCCAGGACTAATAATTCAGAAAGAATCAAGCAGGAAAAAAGATTGGCACTTTTGCGGTCAGAGCAGAAGCAGATCAGTTAGTAGAGGCTGAAGCAATAAAAGTTGTAAAAAGATGTAAACTCACACAGTTTCAGAATGCTGAGTGCCATCTCCTTCAAGGCTACTCTTGGCTGAGTCGCAGCTAGAAGATCCAGAACTTGCTTTCAAAGATGCAAATTGACCATTCTTCCGATGCATCCTAATATACATCGCCAAGTAAGTTATACTCAAAACCTCGACATTAAATTGCTTCTTGTTAAACTAAAAAAATAAGTTGCTTTAAATTTTGCTTGAAGCTTCTTCTTCTTCTTATTTTTTTTTTGTGGGGGGGGTGNTCAGACTCTAGTTTTCAAGTAAACAGACACTTTCAGGGACATTCTTTTAAGCTCTACTTTTTCAAAGCAAATCGACCAGAATCCATGTTTCCTATCATAAAGACACGCTACCAGTTCAGATCAAAATTATTGTCCTTTTCATTTTCAGTTTGGATGAATACTACAGCTTCCAATATATGCAAAATCTTTGCATGAGAAACCAATGACACAGACAGGACCCTAATCCAAAACTTAAGAGACGAGCATTTGGCTGATTGCATAATCTTGTAAATACACTATTACTATATGAATTCTATCACAGAAGTAGTCTAGAAAACCAAAGATGAAGACGATTTGAGGACAAACGGACATCATGTTAAATTGGAAAAACAGCATCTGTAAATGACATTGATACCATGTTACTAACACCTGGACATGAAAAAGAGTTTAAAAAGAACATCAAAAGAAAGCATGCAAACAGCAATTCCCATTCTTTATGATTGACAAACCAATATCATCTTTTATTTATTATTTTTGTTATTAACAATTTCACATCATCAAATATCATTGCCAGGAAGGGGAGCCATGGAGCAACGGTCAAGTTGTTTCAGTGTGACCTATAGCTCACGGGTTCGAACCGTGGATGCTTGCATCAGGGTAGGTTGTATATATCACACCCCCATTGGGGGGCAACCTTCCCCAGACCCTGCGTGAATGCGGGATGCTTTGTGCACCGAACTGCCCTTTTAAATATTATTGCCAGGTTAAAATCTCAAAGAAAACCAAAATAGTAACAAGGCATATCATTTTACCTTTGAGCAACCTCCTTCCTGACACTATATCTAATTTTCTTGTCAAAACATCTCTCCTTTCGCTTCTCTCGGAATCTAACCAAGGAGGCAAATCTTCTTGAAAGATTAACTTGCTTTGGAAAATCCTCAACCTAAAACATTATACTGGTCATCCAAGAGTATCGCCGAACTACAGTGCAAGTTATAGTATTAGTTTAGAATACCGTGTTGTCGAAAGGAACTTCAACAGTGGGCACGGCAGTAGGAATGTCACATTCCCCCAATAGCAAGAGCACTGCTTGCACCTGTTTTCACCAAATAAGCCAGAGTCAATTTCCAGATCTTTGCCAGCCGCAATGCAACATCTACACATGATTGACAACAGCTGTATCAACTCTGTCCAAATACAGGAAAAGAACCATGATTTACATGTCACGGACAGCTGAAGCAAAACGCCATACCATGTAATATGGAGACACCATTATTATTTCAGTAAACATGCCTTCTGGATGAGAAGCACCATTTATGAAAAATGAAACCCCAAGATTTCTTGGCTATTTCTGATTCTTTTCATCTGAGGAGCTGAGTAGAGTCATATCACAGGAAGCAGCAGTTTATAAATTTATATAGCAGGAAAGAAGGTGCAATGACATAAAATTTTCCAACTATATTCTCAAGTAATAGTTAAGTAACATCTTAGTAAATGGGCGCAGTAGAAGGATATTCTCAGCCAAGTTACTACATCCAAACTTATCCTAGGATGTAGAGTTAGCTAGACACCATTTCTATAAAGTGTCTCATTGTAGTTGGCGTGGCAAAGGGACAAAGGACCAAAAGGAGGATGGAAAACTTAAAGAAAAATACAATTCACTAGAAATATCTGAATACCTTAAAGAAATAACCTACTGATTACAAGACAAAAAATGACTTCTTTTAGGCCACTTTTAAGAGACATATTGAACAAGAGTAATTGTTCAGAACTGAAAGAGCGAAGATGACCAAGTAACTATGAACGCAGATGCCTCATAAAGAAGCTCTTCTCTTCGGATGCTTTGCATGTCACTAAAATTTTAGAAAACTAAAGTAGAAATTTAAAATAAAATGTTTTTCTTAAAAGGAAATTAGATATAAAGATGTCCTGAAGGGAATGATTTGAGGTTAAGGCATACAAGATCCTAGGTATGGATCCCAGCTACAACACTTAGTGTGAGCCCGCCATCTGCTCTATCAATCACAAGCAAAGCCGTTGTCCTCGTGGGCTGTAGTATGCTGCTCTATGGGTTAGTCAAGGTCCGTGCAAACTAGCCAGATACCACAAGTCCACAATATTCCAAAAATAATAAATAAGACTTATTCAATTTTTGTCCCAAATCATTCTTTAATCCGGCTTAACTAATCAATAAATAGCAGTAACACAATTATGGCAAAATTCATCGAGCACAAAATATGGTATGAAGTTCCCATCGTGTCAGTGGCTAAGAGTATACACCCCTACATTTGCACACGACAAATCACTTGTTTAAAGCATTAATCTAAAGCACTGAATCTATGATTTGATGGAAACTTCCAAAAAGAGAATAGAAAAGAAAGTAAATTTCTTTCTTAAAGGTAGAAACTACGGTACCTTCTCAGGAGTGACTGCAGGGAAAACATACACTTCACCTTCAAAAGCAAGAGTAAGCTCACTACTTCTAGAAACTTCCACAACTCCACCGCCTCCTCCATATTGATGGTGATTTAAAACCTTCGTCCGTATTTCCTCCGCCTCATCCATAGTTTCTTCACCTCCATAATCCTCATACGTGCCGTCGTCATCCTCCTCCTCCTCCTCCATCTGTATCGACTGTAACGGCCCGTGATCTTCGTACGGACGCGCCTGCAGTGGCCGTGGATTCCCCGACATCATGATATTCTCTCTCTATATATATCTATATATACACCATGAAATTGAAAACCTAATCCTTCAAAAATCACGCTAATTTCATAATTAAAAAAATCATTTTTTTTCACAAACAAGAAAAAAAAATCTCCGAATTATCTTCGTTTATAAGAAAAATATGCATTCTTAAGTTGATTTCATTCGAATTTCATGACCAAAATTCAGCTACAGAGAATAAAATGATGTTGATATTGACGAAGACGAAGAGGAAGAAAGTGCGAAGGAGACAATGGCCGTTTTAACAAAAAGCACCCTAAAATGGAAAATATTACAGCTTCTGCCATTAACGTTTCCTTAAAGAGACTTTTATTTAGCATTTTTTTAGTTTTCCACTTTGAGTATTGATTAAATTAGATGTGATCCAGTACAGCAGGGTGTAGCTAAATTCGACACTAAGTTGATTATTAGCCGTCGTTTGTTTGGCTAAAAGTAATTTGTGGCTGTGATGCAGTAGAGCTGTAGGGGATTGTGTAGCTGATCAAAGTTGTAGTGGAATAATATATTATAGGATTATCCGGAGAAGATCTTGGATTGGATTTGGAAGCATAAGTTATACTATTGGATTCAATTAGGTATGTAGATTTGTTTTAGAAATTATAATATTCTATGTTATTCTATGCTAAACTATGATAATTTACTATTTAAGGCATCTTTATGTGTCAAAAAGATGCAAAGTCTTAGTTTCTAGTTAATTTGAATCAAATGTGTTTGAATTTCAATGTTATGTATACAAGAGGGCTAAGTATATTTTAGAGTAATATTCTTACAGCAAAAGTCAATAACAACAACAACAACAATCCAGTAAAATCCACTAATGGGGTTTGGAGATGATGGTGTGTACGCAGGCCTTACCTCTATCCCAAAAGAGTAGAGAGGCTGTTTTCGAAAGACCATCGGCTAAAAAAAAAAAAGAANCCTGGTCTAACCACCGCTTTATAAAACTTACCTTTGAGTATCGGTGGCACTCTCTTGTCACACATGACTCCAGATGTTAACCTCCACTTCATCCATCCTACCTCAATACGGTGTGTGACATCCTTGCCGATCTCCCCTCCCCCCTGGATAACCGAACCAAGGTACTTGAAGCTGCCTCTTCTCGGGATGACCTGCGAATCAAGCCTCACATCCACACCCACTTCCCCTGGCTCAGCGCTGAACTTACACTCCAGGTATTCCGTCTTCGTCCTGCTCAGCTTGAAACCCTTAGACTCAAGAGCCTGTCTCCAAACCTCCAGCCTCTCGTTAACACCGGCTCGCGACTCATCAATCAGAA